CACGGTTCACGTATTGTTGAAGCCTGGCTTGGAGAATTTTGAGCATTGCTTTACTAGCGTGTGAGACTTAGTGACTTTAGGGAGAGCAATTTCTGTGAAACAGTAAGGGCAGAATCCATGTTTCGGTGAATGGGAGATAAGTAAATGGAGGCAGCTCAACGAGTGTAGCTGAGAAGGAAAGAATAGACAGGTCAGTAAAGAAGAATGGGGGATAACAGAAAGTTGGTTTTTTTTTTTTTTAAGGTGGAAGCAAGTACTGTATTTGCATATTGGTTCCCTCGGAGAAATTAGCAAGTGGAGAGACGTTGACCTGTGGAAAAGTGAGAAGATTAACTAGTGGAGTAATGACTTGGAATAGACAAGAAGGAATGGAATGTTGGGCATAGATTAGTCTTGGGAACAGGAGACTGAATCCTCTTTCTCTGACTCATGAAGGAAGAAGGGGTATAGATACAGATATAGATAAGATTAAGTGTGAGGGAGGGCAGAGAGAAATACAGATTCATGCCTAAAGGCTTTTGTTGTCTCTGTAAAGCTAGTGACCGAGTTGTAAAGTTGAGTGTGAGGCAGCTGGGTCTAGCGGAGCTCTTGACGAGTTTAGAATTGCCCCTGAGGGAAATGGGAGAAGGACTCCCCTGAGTTTGCTGGGCTTTGAGATGTTCGTTTCTAAAATGAGGGGATTAAGTGAAGTGTCTCAGGGTTGACTGAGAGTCAGAGAGAAGAAAAGAGGGATGTTGGACTTTGGACAAAATATATAGCACTGTAGAAATAACATTTTTATATGACAAGTTAATCAGATGTACATGATATATTAGAAATACTATATTTAAAGAACATATCAAGAAAAGTGACTCAAGAAGAAAGAGGTTGGAGCCAAATTTGTGAATTGGGTAGCTTACAGTTGTTTTCTGGTGTGTGCGTGTGTGTGTGTGTGTGTTTCAACTGCACCGCAGGTGTCTCCTGGAATCTTAGTTCCCTGACCAGGGATTGAACCCATGCCCTCGCAGTGAAAGCACAGAGTCCTAGATACTGAACCACCAGAGAATTCCCTCCAGTTATTTTTTCCCCCCCTCAGGTTATTTTTGTAAAAATCTGTATATTTTTCTGTAAAATGGGACAGTAATACCTCATAGATTTTATGAGAATTAAGTACAACTGCCAACTAAGACATTTAGCAGAACATCTGGCTCATACTGAATGCTTAATAAATAGTAGCAAGTGTTTTTATTATTCTGAGTTCCCTTTGGGGGGACAGGGACAGAGGGTGGGGAGGAAAAAATTCTCTGGGAAAAGAGACCACCTGATTCTGGCTCTGCTCTAATTTAATAAAATATTGGGAAAAATGGATTCTGAACCATTGGACCACCAGGAAAGTCTACACTGCAATTTTCTCAGGGTATATGCCCAGTAGTGGAATTGCTGGATCATATGGTGGTTCTATTTTTGATTTTTCAAGGAACATACTGTTTTCCACAGGGTCTGTATCAATTTACATTCTGACCAGCAGTGCAAAAGGGTTCTCTCTTCTTCACACACTCTCCCGTATTTGTTTTTTGTAGATTTTTAAAATTATGGCCATTCTGACTGGTGCAAGGTGATATGTCATTGTAGTTTTGATTTGCATCTCTCTAATAATTTGTGATGTTGACCATATTTTTATGTTTGTAGAAGCATAAACTCAATGACTGTGGATTTCTATGGCTGTCGAGTCCTGTGTTGTGTGTATGTTAGTCACTCAGTCATGTCCAACTCTGGAGGAGCCGTGGACTGTAGCCCACCAGGCTCCTCTTTCCATGGAATTCTCCAGGCAAGAATCCTGGAGTGGGTAGTCATTTCTTTCTCCAGGGGATCTTCCTGACTCAGGGATCGAACATGGTTCTCCTATGTTTCAGGCAGATTCTTTTACGGTCTGAGCCACCAGGAAAGCATCGAGTCCTATATAAACCATTTTCTTAATTGCCCATTTTAATACCTTGGTAGCTTATTTAACTCTTCTCAGTGTCAACTGATTGATTTTTAATGTGGTAAAAATATGTATTTTGCAAAGTTACTGCAAGAATTAAACATAATATTTTTAAAAGCACTTGCTACCTAACTGGTAAGCTCTGAATGGAAACTGCTATTCTTATCAACATCATCATTAATATCAGAACCCAAAGGGTCAAGGTGGCTACTTTTAAGAATCACAAAATTTCATTTCATTTGAAATTTTGTCTTAATTTATAATTGACCTTCAGAGGTAAAGGGAAATTAGGATTTATCTGTCATCTACAATGTGCTGGGTACTCTGCTAGATGTGAAACTGCACTCTTTCTCTGGTGGGACCCAGCCAAAACACAAATTGGAATTCAAACCCATGGACTGAGACTTAAACCCATGATCCCCTGAGTTAGGAAGGACTCAAACCCACTGTCTTTTAATTGAAACTGCTCTTACCTGGTGTTAGGATTTACTGATGCTCAGGTCCTTTTGTCTCATTGCAGAAAGATTTCAGTGAGAGGCAGAGTGGCAGGCAAAGAATGAGTGTGTTAGCAGAGGACACTTGTGAGAAATGCAAATGGACGGATGAAAAGGCTCTGCCCCAGAATCACCTTCTTCCTCATTCATGGGCAGATGTCAAGACTTACATCATTAGTTCCTCCTTTGGTTCTCTATGGTTTAACCAGGACTGTCATGGTGCTATTTAAATCATATGTGTATTAGCAAAAGGGTGGTAACATACACTAAAATATGGTAGTTCATCTCAGGTTTCAGTATAATGTCTCCTCTTACCTAGTTTGTTTCTCCTTTCACCTATATTTCTGTCTTGGCTATGTGCAGAAATGCTACTCTTCAAGGAGTATTAACTCCCTGACTTTGTATAACAAGATTCAGACCCCATATCTATGGTCTTGAGTTTTTAACTATCAGGATCTCTGGCTTGAGTGTGCCTGGCACTTGGATGCACCTAGTCTTCCTTCAAGGTAAAGTAGATTGTTACCAGGTTACTGGATTCTTTTCTTGAGTGGTCTTTAGCTTACAACAGTCTCCCAAACTCCCTTAAAATTCCCTTTCTGTTTTTAATAATCCCCTAGTGTGATTTTTAAACTATTTAATTATCCTACTCTATCCCTGGAGCTTCCCAGGTGGTGCACTGGTAAAGAATCCGCCTGCCAATGCCAGAGATGCAGGAGACACAGGTTTGATTCCTGGATCGGGAAGATCCCCTCGAGGAAGAAATGATAACCTTCTTCAGTATTCCTGCCTGAAAAATCCCATGAACAGAGGAGCCTGGCGGGCTACAGAACATGGGGTCGCAAAGAGTCAGACATGACTGACCATGCGCGCACTCACCATATCCCCATCAGGTGCTGGGGAGGTAGTATAGTCCTGTTTTTAGGAGGTTTATATGGTTCTGGTGAGGGAGAAAGACAAATCAGTGATGTAGACACAGTGTGATAAAATGCTGACTCAGACATGCTCACTGGCTTATCCAGGAGGATAGAGGAGGTGAATTTAAGTTACTTTATTAATACCCACAGCTACTCTGCTTTTTTTCTTTTTTTGGAAGGATAATTGCTTTACAGTGTTGTGGCAGTCTCAGACTTACATCACTGTGAGTCTGTCATAATTGTGTATATATCTCCTTTCCTCTTGAGCCTCCCTCCCCCCCCACACCATCCTGCCCCTTGAGGTCGTTTCAGAGCGCCGGGCTGGGCTCCCTGTGTTATGGAGCAGCTTCCTGCTGGTTGTCTGTTTCACACATGATAGTGTATATATCCTGAGTGTTCGTTGGAGGGACTGATGTTGAAGCTGAAACTCCAAATCTTTGGCCACCTGATGCGAAGAGCTGAAACCCTGATGCTGGGAAGGATTGAAGGCAGGAGGAGAAGGGGACGACAGAGGATGAGATGGTTCAGTGGCATCACTGACTCAATGGAGTTGAGTTTGAGTAAACTCTGGGAGTTGGTGATGGACAGGGAGGCCTGGCATGCTGTGCTCCATGGGGTACATTCTCAATTTCTCCTAGCCTCTCCTTTCCCCAGCTGTGTCCACAAGTTCTTTCTCTACATCTGTGTCTCCATTTCTTCAATGTAAATAGGTTCATCAGTTCTGTTTTTCTGGATTCCGTATATATGCATTAATACATGATGTTTGTTCTTTTTCTGACTTATTTCACTCTGTATAACAGGCTCTAGATTTATCTACTCTGCATTTTTATCGAATTTTTATCCCATTTTTTAAATCCTGTTTTTATAGTTAAGGACACTGAAGCCTGGAGCTAAAAGTGACTCAGGGCCACACACCTACTAAAGGGCAGAATTTGTACAATGATTAACCTAGGTCCATCTGATTCCATTGCCTCTATCCTTTCTTTATATATTTTAAACATTTCGAAAATGTGAACTTTTGAACCCAAAGTAGGTCTTACAAATTTCTAGTTTTAGACATAGTTTTGTAGAAAGTGCTAATAGGTAAAAGTATATACCCTACTTGTAAAGGTATACATCTTCCTGGGTCGGGAAGATCCCCTGGAGAAGGAAGTGGCAACCCACTCCAGTATTCTTGCCTGGAGAATCCCATGGACGGAGGAACCTGGCAGGTACAGTCCATGGGGTCACAGAGAGTTGGACGCAACTGAGCGAGTAATCCTTAATCCTGTACATCCTACTAAATTTCAGATTTTAATCTCCCTCTTATCAGCTTGAGGACTTTTCTTATTTCTAGTTCAGGTTGTTGGCTCACTTAAATTATTAATAGCTTTGGAGAGCTTCTGTTGTTAGAGGAATAAATTAGCAGAACCTGTTTCCTTGCTTTTGCATCAACATCTAAAAATGTCCACATTTGTTTAAATAGGTGAAGCTGAGCCCAGAACTAGGATACTGTTTATCTTATCAAAACGGGTGGAAGTAACGCAGTCTGAAGGAAGTTCAAGGCCACCAAACTTACTGACTGAACTACATTTAGTATTCATGTCAAGAATAAGTGGCTGGGGAAAGACCTTGCTATTCTGCTAAATCATGATGGAGGCAGAAGAACAGCCATGGAAGACAACCTTTTACTCAAAATTACCTAAAGTGGTAAGAATTCAACCACAAAATTCTGGAGTGTTGCAAAGTATAATGATTTCTGTGTTGCTTCTTTTCACAAAAAGAGAAATAAATTTCATAGGTAGAATTTGTAAACTTTGTACATTTTACAAGTTATATAGCTGCATCTGTTAGGCCATTTGCCTAGTGCAGTCTACCAACATCAAGCACCTGCTGCAATTCTGTGACTCTAGTGGACTTGAGAAGATTTTTACTGGTTGCATTCTCCTATTTTAGGAACTTCATGCCCACTTGAATGGATCCATTAGTTCCAATACCATAAAGAAGTTAATAGCCAAGAAACCAGATCTTAAAATCCACGATCAGATGACTATGATTGACAAGGGAAAGAGAAGAACTTTAGAAGAGTGAGTTTGAGGGAGTTTGTGGACACCCTTCTTCCTTTCTCTATTTTGCGATTATAAATAGTATGTAAGGATTCAGATTTTTGTAGTTAAAGGAATAAGGTAGCCATCTGGTATGGAGAGTATAACTTGACAAACAGTATTTTTCCAGCTGTCAGACTGTTGACAAATTTTAGTGATTTGTATTGTTTATGAAATTATAGCAAATTGGAATATTCTTTAGATTTATAAATATAGACTTCTTGATTTTTTTTCTCCCTGTTTCCTGCTTCCACTTGAGATAGGAGTTGTAGGGGTGAAGAAGGGAAACTATTGTTTTCCACTTAAAAGTAACATTTAATTTTCAGTCATTTGATGATCCATCCAGATCAGTGTAATTTTTAAGAAACCTATTCTGTTGTTCCTTATAAATATATAATTACTACTAGCCTAAAATCAATTAATCTAGTGAAGTTTTTGATGACTAAAGTATTTCAAAACTTTTCATATTGCAGATGCCTCCAGATATTTCAAATTATTCATCTACTTACTACTAGCCCTGAAGATGTTTTAATGGTGAGAAATGAAGCAGTTTTTAGACTGGTTTAAAAATTAGTAAGTAATTGATGCCCTTCTGTTGTTGCACATGACTCAAGAGTCTAATGAAAAATATTTTTTTCCTTTTTTATGGTAACTTTTGAAAAACAACGTTAAGACATTTGCCTAACAGCTAATATCAAAAGACTATATTAATTGTAAATGATATGAGGAAAGAACAAAGATCAAAATCTTCTGTTAGGTAGAAAATTGAACAGTGTGGAGGAGAAAATCTTGTCCTTTTTTCATATATGTATAAACTCTCTATATAATCGTATCATATGAAATATCTGACCACAGGCTTTACCTGAATTGCTTGGGATACTTTGAACTTTCTGGGTGGACATTATAGAGAGTGAAGGCGTTCAAGAGGTGCTTAGAGATTGAATTATTAATCCTTTGGGAAATTGTGCCTTCCCTCTGGAGATGAAGGGCTAGAGGACTCCTCTGTGTTCCCTTAGCTGGATGACTGGCTTTGTATCAGATTTGTATCATTGATCTGATTAGGATGGCATTTTTAAATGTTCTCTTTCTAATTGGAGAGAAGCAGAATCCTATCAGTGTTCTTAACCCTTAGGAAAAAAGTACAAAGTAAGAAATGCAAAATAAGAAATATAACGTAATGTGTTTTTGGAGAGGTGACATTTGACTGGTCAAGAAAAAATTTTTCTCCTTGGCTGAAACTGATCCTCTTGATAATTATTAAGTAAATTAATCACTTTTTGGAGGAAGGTTAACTCTAAGAGTTTAGCAGAAGTTGACAAGAGTGTCCCCAGTGTTCCAGGCACTCTGCTAGGACAGAGAGACAGAAAGATCGACATGGTCCCTGCCCCTCAGGAATCCATAGTCAGGTTGGAGAGACAGACCCATAAGAGGATGAATCCAACATCAAGAGGTAAGCTCTGTGTTGGAGACAGGCACAGCGGTTTATAGGAACCTGGGGAGCATTTGTTGTCTTATCAGCCACTCAGCAGGTCCCGCTGAACCCTGCCAGGGCTGTCCCCCGCAGGAGGCTTTGTCTCATTCTCTGTTGTCGAGTGGAACAGAGCAAAACTGATTACATTTTAGATTCTGAGAGTTCCATGGGTATAATATGCCACACTCATTGTTTCTTTTCTTTAAAAGTTGGTAAGAAGCTTTAATAAATGAACCTTGTGTGGGAATAAATCAAGGGATTGTTTATAGATATGGGACTGAGTGTATGAGGATCACTTAACAGTCTCATCAGAGTAACTGAGTGTAATCTCAAAAAGACAAGGTTGAAATGTGGCTGAAAAAGCATTAACTATTACATGTGCTAGATTCTGTGCTCAAAATGACTTTCCTGTAGTGGTCATTCTTATTGCTCCCTTTTTGCAGATGAAAAAAACTGAGGCCTAAAGAGGTTAGACCTTGTTTAAGGTCACTCACCATGATTAAAGTGGCAGAATTGACTGTTTTGTCTGATTCCAGAGTCCATGTTCTTTCTTATTTGAGATGTGCAGTCTTACATCCCTGGAGTAAGGGGAAACTTAACTGTGAGGTACTCTATCTGAAGACAGAACTTGAGTCGATGGTCTCAGTCCAGAGCATAGGAGAACAAAAGAACAAAGCCCAAAGAGCCAAGAGCTGACTGCAGTTCCTGTTGCTGCCTGGAGCAGAAAGGACTGAATCTGGTTGACATGGGAAGGGAAGTCACTCCCTAGAAAAGTGTTCTTGGATATGAACTAGAGATGATTCCACGGGTCTCACTGTGGCCTAGCAAAGTCTTCCTTCCATGACTCCCAATCAGTACTTGCCAGCAACCTTCTGTTGCTCCTCTAGGTTTCACAGGTACCTCACCGCCAGGAAAAGGGATGCCCTGGATAGTAGATATGATCACTTCACACCTTCCCTTCACCCTCATTGTCCATCCACACATTATCGACGGGCTTCTACAGTAGTCTCCTGTGAGCTGGGGTAGGATGAGTTGGTCTTTCTGGATCTGCTTAGTTAAGGAGTGAAGATAAGATCTGAGTTCCTCACAATTTGCAAAGATGAGGACTGTGCTGTGGTGATGGCAGTGGCAGCAACGTGGGGTTTCTGGAACACCAGTGCTACAGGGTGGTCTAGTGCCTTTGATGGTGGTACAGAGGCTGCAGGGCCATGCCTAGTGGAGGAAGCAGTAGTGTCTTGCTTGGTCCAAGGGTGTCACGTGATTTTGAATGCTTTTGTGTTGTCATTATTACTGAGTCCAAGCTCTCTCTGCTTGCCACACAACAGGCCAATAAATTCAAGAGACGAGGTGTTGAGGCAAGGAATATGACTTTATTGGGAAAGCTGGCAGATGGAGAAGATGGCAGACTAATGTCTCAAAATAACCATCTTATTGGAGTCTGGATGCCAGTTTCTTTTATAGAACAAAGATGGGGAGAGGTGAGGGATTAAGGTTAAAAATGCTGCTAATCTTACAAATATCTTCTAGAATGGCCAGCCTCCAGGAGAGGATATATTAATTTTTTCCTTCCTGTAGCCAGCCACAGGTGGACAAAGTCCTGAACAAAGGCATTTTGGTTTGACATTAAGGCAGAGGTGGGCAGGGTTCTCCAAGGCAGGCCATTTTGTATGCTTATAATAACAAAAGCAACATAAAGCAAAGGTTAAAGTCGAAGAAACAGATCCAGCATGGAGTCAAAATTGGCTATTGCCTGTGACATCCTGGGCTGTGTGATCTCTAAGGCTGATTCTCCAGACCTCCTGGTGAATCTGAGCCACCTGTTATATGCATGTTGTAATAAGTTCCATTTTGGCTTTAGTGTGAAGAAAAAAGATGAGGCCCAGACCTTGGATTGCAGTGTGCCAACCTGTTAGGCACTGTCTGTACAGTCAGCCAGCCTTGTTCCTCTGCCAGGACACTGCATCTGTGTGCCCATGTGCACGTGGGCAAAGCAGGTTAAGAGTAGGATACCAACTGTAAGGACCAACTAGGGCTGGTTGTCACAGCATTTCTAACCTGGTCCTTTTTTCTCCTGGGTTTTTACATTTTAGGTAATGGCAATGAAGGAAAACATGCCTTCAGCCTTTAGATATCATTTCTCTTGGTCATTTAGTAATTTTTGGATTGTTGAGTTTTCTATTAGATTGAATAGTTTTTTTTTTTTTAGATTGAATAGTTTTTTAACTCAAATTTTATCACCCATTTTCTTTGCCTAAAAGAATCTTTCTAAGTACATTTGGGGAGAGTTTAACCCTGCCAAAAGAAATTCTTGAAAAGTTCAACTCATCCCTAAATAACGTGAATAAGAACCTGAAGCCATGACTTTATTTTTTTTTTTAGTGTATTTTTAATTGAAGGATTATTGCTTTACAATATTGTTTTGGTTTCTGTTGTACATCAACGTGAATCAGCCACAAGTATACATATGTCCCCTCCCTCTTGAGCTTCCCTCCCACCTCCCGCCTCATCCCCCCGCTCTAGCTTGTTACAGAGCTCTGGTTTGAGTTGCCTGAGTCACACAGCAAATTCCCATTGGCTATCTATTTTATGTGTGGTACTGTATGTCTCCATGCTATTCTCCCCATTCGTCCCACCCTCTCCTACTCCCCACTCCCCCACCCCGTGTCCATGAATCTTGTTCTTTATGTCTGTGTCTTCATTGCTGGCCTGCAAATAGGTTCATCAGTAGCATCTTTCTGGATACCACATATATGCATAAATATGTGATATTTGTTTTCGTTTCAGACTTGCTTCATTCTGTATAATAGGCTCTAGGTTCATCCACCTCATTAGAACTGACTCAGATGCATTCCTTTTTATGTCTGAATAATATTCCATTGTGTATATGTTCCACAACTTCTTTATCCATTCATCTGTTGACAGACATCTAGGTTTCTTCCATGTCCTAGCTATTATAAATAGTGCTGCGTTGAACATTGAGGTGCATGTATCTTTTTCAGTTTTGGTTTCCTCAGGGTTTATGCCTACTAGTGGGACTGCTGGGTCATGTGGTGGTTTTATTTCTTAGTTTTTTAAGGAATCTCCATACCATCTTCCATAGTGACTGTATCAGTTTACATTCCCACCAGCAGTACAAGAAGGTTCCTTTTTCTCCACACCCTCTCCAGCATTTATTGTTTGTAGATTTTTTTGATCATGGCCATTCTGACCGGTTTGAGGTAATATCTCATTGTAGTTTTGATTTACATCTCTCTAATAATGAGTGATGTTGAGCATCTTTTTGTTTGTTTATTAGTTCTCTGTATGTCTTTATTGGAGAAATGTCTGTTTAGGTCTTTTGCCCACTTTTTGTTTGGGTTGTTTGTTTTTCTTACATTGATCTGCTTGTATATTTTGGGAATTAATCCTTTGTCAGTTGTTTCATTTGCAATTATTTTCTCCCATAATGAGGGTTGTCTTTTCACCTTGTTTATAGTTTCCTTTAGTGTGCAAAAGCTGTTCATTTTAATTAGGTCCCACGTGTTTATTTTTGTTTTTATTTCCATTACTCTAGGAGGTGGGTCATAGAGGATCTTGCTGTGATTTATGTCATACAGTGTTCAGCTTATGTTTTCCTCTATGAGAAGCCATGACATTAAATGGTACATCAGTACTGTGTAATCATTTTAGCTGCTTATTTCTATATGTGACTTTCCAGTACTATACACTCATAGATGGTTTACTGGTTTTAGTTTTGCCTCATTTCTCTGTTTTATCAGTCTGCTGTTCACTAGGAAATAGAGAAATGGTTAACAGGGAAGAAGAGAAGCAAAAGGTGGCAGGGGGTTGTGCAGATTTGAATTTGATGTGAGAATGAGGGGGGTAAGGGAAGCTGTTGGAAACATGGTAGTTTTGTCATAGCCTCCACTAGGGGTGTGAAAAGCATGTCGCTTTACCTTGTGGGAGACTCCAGCACTCCTTTCAAGTCATTTAATGCGTGAAATAAAGCTATAGCACGTGGCATTTTCATTGGGCCCCTTACACTAATGTTATCAGTACTGTGTGCATTGCTTTTATTACCAGGTGACAAAAGATGTCATTAAAGAATTTGCAGATGATGGTGTCAAGTATCTGGAACTAAGGAGCACACCCAGAGAAGAAAATGCTACAGGTAGAATCTAACTATTGATACTTCTCAATATATGTCTATCTTTTTCCTCGGGCTTTGATCATGCATATGCCTGCAAAGTTGAGACTATGCAGCATTTACCGTTACACTGTTGTGAAAGTAGGGTCAAAGGTCCATATCTTCCGATATATATTAATGACATATGTTATTAATGAGTCAGTTAGTTATTCATAAGTCAAAATACCAGGTCAGGTATTATCTGTTGAAGGGAAGTTAAAAGGGCTGCAAAAATTTCATTTGTTCTTGTTTGCTCTTCTCACTCTGAAAAAAAGAACACTTGTTCCTTATAGCTGTGTTCTTAAATAGACGTTAGTTCGTGTTCCCTGCATCAAGCGCTTGTGACACAGTGCCCCTGAGAGGATGTAGAATCGCGTTTCATGGCAGTCACTGAAATGAAGTTATTCAGTCTCTTCTCGGGGACTGATGGTATCTTAGGCCAGGAGCAAGCTGTGATGTGGTAAAACCTCTCTGGATGGAGATGAGCGGATCCGGATATGGTCTGGAGAAGCTTCCTGGGGCCCTCTTTTAGCTGATACGAGCAGCATCCGGAGGTATTCTGTGACGTCCTTGGGTCCTGCTCAGCATTTTGTGCCCTGATAGTGTGTAGCCAGCATCACTGAGGAGGTGGAATTTTAAACTACATACAGTAAAGTTTAGTGAGTATCGAGATGAGGTAAGCAGCAGATTCTGGTTTTGGTTTCCTTTTGATTAGCATATAGTTGATTACAATATCATGTTAGCTTCTGCTGTACAGAAAGTGAATCAGTTATACATACACATATCCACTCTTTTTTAGATTCTTTTCCCATGTAGGTCATTACAGAGAATTGAGAAGAGTTCCCTGTGCAATACAGTGGGTCCTTTTTATTTATCTGCTTTACACATAGTCACATGTATGTGTCAACCCCAATCTCCCAATTATCCCTCCCCCTGAACAGAAGATTCTTATTTCACACTTACAAACTTTAGGATCATTTCCAACTTACGCTGGTGAGGATAGTGAAAGGGAAGGAGAAAAGCAGTCCATAGATTATTTGTGCTAGTTGACTCTTCAAATGGAGATTCAAAGGGAAATGCTAACTGAAATGTGCAGAATAGGGGAATAGTTAAAGTTTAATGGAATATTTGGTAACCATTAAAAATATGTGCAAAGACACTTTAATGATGTGAAGACAAATGAATGAATAGGATACACATACACCTAGTAGCATCTCATCTGTTCAGAATTGTATTTTTGTTGTTGTTCAGCCACCAAGTCATATCACTGTGTGTGCGTGTGCATGTGTGTGTGTGTGTGTATATATATATATATATATTTGTTGTTGTTCAGTTGCTCAGTCGTGTCTCTTTGTGACCCTGTGGACTACAGCACACCAGACTTCCCTGTCTTTCACTAACTCCCAGAAGTCTGCTCAAACTCACGTTGGTTGAGTCAGTGATGCCATGCAACCATCTCATCCTCTGTTGCCCCCTTCTCCTGAACCAGGGTCGAACTCAGGTCTCCTGCATTGCAGGCAGATTCTTTACCGTCTGAGCTGCCAGGGAAGCTCATTAAGTACAAGTGGCATTTACTAAAGCCTGCATATGCAGGAGATACAGATTCGACCCCTGGGCCAGGAAGATCCCTAGAAGAGGAATCAACCCACTCCAGTATTCTTGCCTGGAAAATTCCATGGACAGAGGAGCCTAGCGGGCTACAGTCCATGGGGTCACAAAGAGTCTGAAATAGCTGAGTGACTGAGCATGCACACACATCCATAACTCATCTCATAAGTGTAACCATACACTTATCACACAGAAAGCTAAATGTAATTGTTCATATAGGAATACGATTGTTGAAGGATGAAATTGTTGATGATCTCTTTACAAATGTTTTATTTGTGTCCTTTCTAGGAATGACTAAAAAGACTTATGTGGAATCTATACTTGAAGGTATAAAACAGTCCAAAGAAGAAAATGTAGACATTGATGTTAGGTAAGAAACATTGTACCTTAGTGGTCACCACTGAAAATACTAGAATGTGACAATTTTACTCTTTTGAGCATGGGTATAACAGATTTTTATAAATCTGTTAAAGTCAAGAACTTTGTTGTTTAAAGTTGAGAATACAATTACGAATTTTTTTTCCCATGGCAATAAAGTTCAGAGTCCTGTTGCTGTAGTGAAGTGTGGCTTCCCATGCTCTTCAACAAAAATCCAGACTTCTTCTTGGGCCCTGCAAGGTCCCACGTGCTGCCTTTCTTACTTCAGCATGTGTTCCACTGGTCACTCACCACACACTGACCTTCCCCCTGTTCCTCAAATAGGCCAAGACTGTCGTCCCACGTCAGCACCTTTGTACTTCCTGTTGCTTCTGCCTAGAACACTCTACCATATCCTCGCATGGCTGGCTTCTTGTTACTCAGGTCTCATGTGGCTGTCCCTTCCTCAGAGAGGCCTTCCTTGACCACCTTATCTAACATGCCTCCCCACATCTTCTAGTTACTCCATTTACTTCCTTTATGACACTCTTCTTAACAAAATCAGAAATTTTCTTGTTTTATTTATATATATACATATTCACCCACTAGAGTATAAATTCAGTGAGGCCAGGGACCTTGTCTTTTGATTCACCAGTACTTAGAGCTGGCACACAATTAGGGCTCAGTAAGTCCTTGAAGGAAGAAAAAAAAGAAAGCTAGCTGACTTTCTGGCTATAAAATCTGTCTATAACATCTCTTAGTTAAGCTTAACTAGACTGACACCCTAATTAAAAAGAAAAAACAGGCAAAAGACAAGAATTCAGAAGAGAAAACATAGAATTGGCCAATAAATGTATAGAAAACTATTTAACTTCAATAATCAAACAATTTTGTTTATTTTTTAGTATATGTTAACTCTTTTTTTTTTTTTTTTGGCTGCTCCAGGTCTTTATCGGCATGTGGGATCTAGTTCCCTAAGCAGGGATCAAACCTGGGCCCTCTACACTGGGAGCTTGGAGTCTTAACCACTAGACCACTAGGAAGGTCCCACTAATCAAATAAGTTTTTAAAAACTACAATACCATTTCAATAGGCATCCCCCTCCCCTGTTCGTGAACTTGTACACTGCCGGTGAACATATGTAATTAATAAAACTTTTCTAAAGAGCAGTGTGCATTAAGATCTATAAATGTAATTTCCATATGACTTGTCTTGGAAAAAAAAAGTTTCAAGTATGAAAACTATATTTCTCTCTCTGATCCAGTAATTCTTTTGTAGAAATGTATCCTAAGAAAATGGATTGATTAATGTTAAGATTCTTCATGATAGTATTATTTATAACAAAAAGTATATAACATCCTAAAATGTCCAGCAATCAGAGGACAGTTACATTATGTTACATTCATATGATTTATATTGTTTTCTAACATTTAGTGGCAGGGGAGATTGTTAAGTGGGAAAAAAAAGACATTGCATTTTATATATAGTTGATTCAAATTTTGTAAATAAATATATGTTGGAGGGATTTCTTTATTTTGTGAATAAATAGATTAATAAATGCTGGAGGAAAATTGCACAATATTAATGGGTTCTCTGGGTATTAGATTCCTTGTAGGAATCCAGCTAATATATGAAGAATGAATTTGTATCAGCTATTGGATACATGTTAGAATACTACCAGTCTTGTAACCCATCATGAAATAAGAGATCTAAGCCTTCTGGTGAAGGAACCACCACCTATTAATTCCTCTGGCCTCTATTGAATCTGATGTGATTAAGCCTCTAGACTGGATCCAGTTTCCAATTCGCAGGAAATACAAGAGACAGGAGAACATGTTAGCAACATAGGGATCCGATCAGCAAAATTAGACTGTGGGAAACTCTACAGGACAAATGATCTGGTTTCTTCAACAAATAAATTCAAGAAAAGAGGCTGGGGAGAGGTGTGAGGTGGAGGGTGGGAGAGGGGGTCGGGAAGTGGCTCTAGATTATAAGAGACTTGAGACATTGACCAAAATGATGTGTGGACCTTAGTTGGATTCTGCACCATACAGACTAAAAAACAAATACATGAACAACAACCAAAACAGGAAATAATCAGAAGTTTGAACAGTAACTAGATATCTAGTGCTGTTTAGAAATTTGTTTCACTCCCTCTGGCAAGTAAGATGTCAAGTCAGTCAGGCTGTACTTCTCCAATAAGATACATCGCAGGTAGCTTGCTGTACCTCTCTGGCCATCCTCAGAGTTGTCTTTTTCATCTTCACAATCAACATTCATTTTCAACTGTGTTTTACTTGCATTAAAGGTATTTGATATCAATTGACAGAAGAGGTGGCCCTTCAGTAGCCAAGGAGGCCGTTAAACTTGCTGAAGAGTTCTTCCTTTCTACAGAGGATACAGTTCTTGGCCTTGACCTCAGTGGAGACCCTGCAGTAAGTTATTTTTCCAAAATATGTTTTATTTCTAAAAGGTAGAATCAGTTTGTGGGATGAGGATTAGCTTGGGGCACCTTGCATTCTCCAGAGGTTCAGCAGACACCCCGTGTGTATGAAACCCTGTTCTGCCCTGGATGACCGGAATGTCCACAGCAACTGCTCTCCAGGGTCCTGTAAGAGTTAAGTCCTCTAAAAAAGGAAGAGAGAAAAAAGATTTATATGACAGTATGATTATTTTCTTCATTTTTCTAAAAATGGTACCCAACTAGTACCATTCTACATACATAGGAGAGAGAGTTGATTTATTACAGTCCATGTCTAACGCTTAGTTAATACTTAACTGTGGGTAGGGCTTAATTATCTCACAGAAGCCCCAGTTGAAAAAAGCTGGCCTAGAGCTTCTTGAAGGTCATATTCAAGCAGGGTGTCTCAGCTGTGGCACCTCTGACATCTCGGGCCAAAGAATTTTTGTTGTCGGAGAAATGTCCTGTGTATTGTAGGATGTTTAGCGGCATCCCTGACCTCTTCCCAATAGATCCCAGCACCTTCTTAGTTGTAACAACCAAAAATATTTGTAGACGTCACCAAATGTCCCTTGAGGGGCAGAATCACCCTGGTTGAAAATCATTGAATTAGAGTCCAATGAACCTGGTTCTTCCAGCTTTGAGTAAACCTGGGCTGTTCTGGCCTTGTTTCATCGACCATTTGATAGAAGCATTCTTTACCAATCATACTTGTTCCTGAAGCAGGTGAGTTCTCCTTAGCTCTAGATACCTAGATAACCTTCCAGAAATAAAATTTGGTGACTGTTATATCTAGCTTAGCTGATTCACCTGAGGTTCACTGATACTTGAGATTCTAGAGGGCAAGCACAGTGGCTTTGCCAGCTTTGAATTCCCTAATTTTGTTATAAACAAAATGTACAAATGAGTCCATCTGCCACTTTATTTCCTGCCATTATTCCTTTGTTTATTGAGACAGAGTACTCAGTTCTTCAGTTTGCCTAGACTCATATATCCTCATTTTAACTTCTATCTTCAAGGCAGGACAAGCAAAAGACTTCTTGGAACCTCTTTTAGAAGCTAAAAAATCTGGTCTGAAGTTGGCACTGCATATTTCAGAGGTAAATAATGTTGTAAAATTAGGCTGGAGAGGGTAGATTACAGTGGAAAATCATTAATGGAAATTAATAATCACTTGTACATGGCTAAAGATAAACCTGTCTTGGAAAAACACTTTTAGAGAGAAAATAGAAATATTTTTATGTAAATTATAATGATAAAGACATAACTTGCCTTAGTCCCTGGAGTTACCGTTTCTATGTTGTTATAGTCCCTGGGTTGACTCACACTACAGTTGTATCCTTAGAACAGCTCGATGACAGCTTGTTCGAGAAAATGCATAAATTTTTGTCAGCAGCCTTGATATCAGCAAACCGACACTGAGAAAAGCATGAGTTTGCCTCACGTGTCCTTACAGGGAAGGGACCTGAATGTATCATATACACTGGCAAGAAAGAAGGTAGCTCATCATCCAAAAGGCCCAGAGGGAGATTGGGTGCCCTGTGGCCCCCAAGTTGACAGCAAGAGTGCAGGGCAGATCATGCATGGACAGTAGCTGGAGGACAGTCACTTCCTTAGTCAGCATGTCCCTGAGAGGCAAACGAGGGCTCTCCTGCACCTTTCCATTTTATAGATAGATTTGCTTTCTTACCTCAGTCCTTCTACCTACTTAATGCTTTCTTTTATTAACATATAAAAAGCTGTATATAATTAAGGTATACAACTTGATAAATTTGGATTTGTTTCTTGAATGCAGGAAATATTACCTACTTACTGCACATGATTATTTTGAGTATGATATGGAGTCATGATATAAAGATTGAGGCAAAAATTGGAGCTTCTTGTCAGTACTGAGTGTTTTTCATGTCTACAAGCAGAGTCAGTAATCTAGTAGCAGAACTTGAAGTCTCGGATCTGTTTCCACACTCTGATCAAAAAGATCCTTCACACAGAGGACACCCTCTAGTTGACCCAACTGATGCCAGATTGAAGCCGTCGGTCAGGGTGACAGAACAGGCAGCCTGAGGCCAGTTACCTCTGGTCTTTGTGCGCAGCGTGAGAACCTGCCCTTACCTTAGTTTCTGTTCTCTTACTTGATCCATTGGATGGAAAATGTTTCATTTTGACATGTTACGGTCATTTGTCTTTTAGGCTATCTAAGAGTTGAAGAGCACAGCTAGACACACATTTTCGTGGTGGTTGTGGTATGCACATAGGGAGCCTTGTTAAGATGAAACATGAATGCATTGTGTGTGGATGGAGTCTAGGCCCCAGAGTCAGACAGAGCCAGGTTTCACCCTTATCTCTACCATTATGCTAGCTCTATGAGTTTGGACAGCTTTTCTTTAAAATGCTTTATATTTGGACAGCTTTTCTTTAAAATGCTTTATATTTTTAGCTACAAAAGTTTTATGTACCTGAAGAAAATCGAAGAGTAGAGAGATAGTATAAAGTAGAAGTAAATAAATAAAAAATGGAAGGTCCCCTTCAGTTCTGCTCCTGAGTTGATCCTGTTAACAGTTTTGTTTTTATGTTTCTCCAGTTCTCTTTTTAATATGTGTGAAGACATGTACACAACACAGGACACACACATGCATATAGACTCGTTGGATTTTGTTATTGAACACTTACTTTTTGAGTTTTGATTTCTTTGTCTTAATACTTTGTATAATTCTTGTGAGGTTTAAAGCAGAATGTATGTGAAAAGTCAATAACTATTGGCTCTCTAGTTATTATCATCATTGAAATGAATCCAGAAGAATACTGGGAAATGAACAGGAATATCAAAGGCAAAGAAGAAGCCTGGAAAGTTAAGTGACTCAGCTTTCCAGAATGTCTGCAATACCTTCTCAGAGGGACAGAGTACCTAGCTGTAAAAAAAAAAAAAAGTACTTCTAAGAACCACTGAAAGAGGTTATTGATGCCCTTGTCTCCCCTTCTTTTTTTTTGAGATTCCAAACCAAAAAACAGAAACACAAGTACTCCTGAACCTGTTTCCTGACCGAATCGGGCATGGGACATTTCTCAACTCCTCCGAGGAAGGATCCCCAGATCTGGTGGACTTTGTGAGGCAACACCAGATACCGCTCGGTAAGGCTTCAGGTCCTCCAGGCAACTCTCTGACCCTTCCTCCCCCGCCTGCAGCTTGCCACCCATATGTAGAGAAACACTGTTGTAAATATATAGATATTATTTAGAAATGAAGTGATGCTTTCTCAACCTTATCTAAGTAACAGGAAATTTTATTAATAGCTCCCATTAGAGTATAAAAGCTCCATGAGAGCAGGGCCCTCATCTGTCTTGTTCACTGTTGCATTCCCCAGTTCCTGGAACTCGGTATTATATTGAAGTAATAAGGGTCACCTATCATTTTGGAATGACTTTAACCTGTTTACTTATGTTATGAAAATGTATAACATATATTTAAAGATTAAGATGTCTGCAAATTCCGAGTATATTTTTATATGTCTGTTAACATCACATACTTGTCTGCATGTGTATACCAGGAGCTGTTTTTATTTAGCAACAAATATTTATGAAGTGCCTACTCCCTTCCAGTCACTATTCCAATTGCTGGGAATAGAGCAGTAAAAAAAACAGACAATGTTTCTTTCTCAAGGAACTTATATTCTAGCATGGGTAAGAGAGACAGTAAGCAAATACACAAGAAAATATCAGTGATAAGTTCCTTTCAGAAAATTAAACAGGCTGGTAGAGTAGTGATAAGCTAACCACTTTTGACTGGATGGTTGGGGAAGGCCTTTCTGATGAGGGAAAGAAGCAGGTGGCTGAAAACCTTTTTACTGAATGGTGAATTCACCACACTTACAAATGTAACAGTTTGTAGTATTTTTAACTAATTTATAGTTTTTCAGCAATTCATAATGGGTGAGATTTTTTTCTTTTTAATAAAGAAATTTTTAAACATCCACAAGAGTAAAGAATCTTGGAAACCACTTGCCTGGTGATCTTACTTGGAGTGGAGTCCCGGCTCCGCAGTCAGCAGGGGCAGGTTGGGCTTCCCGTTCCTGGGCCTGAGCGGCCCTGGGTCGCAGCCGCCTCACCCAAAGGAACAGATGCCATCAGTCAGTTCAGCGAAGCATTTCACTCCGGCTGGAGAGCCGGGCACAGCGTTTCAAGGCAGGAGTTGTGTAATCATAGAAGGCGTTCTTAAGATAGACTTCTTTGCAGGAGGCAGTGAATGGAAGGAGTTGAGACGTTTTCTTTCTTTTCCTGGAAAAGGTCCATTTCTACTCTTGGAGTTTTATAACATGCAACCCTCAAGCATTGCAACTGTTTCCTAACCTTTACTGCAGCCTCCACTGTGGAAGTGCCGCAGCCCTGTGAAGAGTCCGTGTACTCCCCTCACGCTTCCCTGCCTTTGTCATGGTGACTGGCTTATCACACTCCTCTTTCCTCTCCTTTTTCATAAAAGAAAGGGGGAAAGCACATGATTGTGAAGGGGATACTAATTCCCTGCTTGGCACAGCTGCTGCTATAAACCACAGCACATGGTAGTTTTCACATGTAAGAAAAGGTCAACTACTAAAAATTAGCATAGCTTGGAAAGATTTCTCATGTATCTCCTAATAGGTCTTTTAATTAGAAGCCTCTTCCTTTCCCCCCTCGTTCTAGAACTCTGTTTGACCTCAAACGTCAAAAGTCAGACAGTTCCATCTTACGACCAACATCACTTTGGATTCTGGTACAGCATTGCCCATCCTGCCGTGATCTGTGTAAGGTGTTTTGCTCCCTTTTAGTCCGAGTTGCCGTAAGTCAGGCGTTCACTGTCTAGCTGGCTGCCTTGCATGCCAGGGGGTGGTGCCCAAGTGGAGGAGTGAGAGAGGAAGGGGGCGTGAGAGGCTGCAAAGGTATGACTGTGGTTTGGCTCTGTGGGGGAAGGTCCTGGAAAGGACCTGGGGGAACAACAATACCGAAACCCAACACCCACCCCTTGAGATCATGCTTCCATTGTTTGGGGCTGAGTCCTGGGCACAGATGCATTTTAAAAGCTCCCTGGTGATTTGCACATGCAGCCACGGTTGAGAGGCCCTACTCTGGTGGTCTGTGTTCTTAAAAAGGATAAACAAGACTGTTCAGTTACAAATGTGCCTGGATACATTTGTAGGCCCCTGTTTAGACTCTTAAAAGCATGGTAAGTAGGAAAATGCTCTCAACAAAAGTTGAGAGTTATTTTTTTTAAAGTCATTTCCTCCTTCATTTTGAAACTTTCTTACATTGACAGACTGATGATAAGGGTGTTTTTGCTACACACCTTTCTCAAGAGTACCAGCTGGCGGCTGAAACATTTCATCTGACCCAGTCTCAGGTGTGGGATCTGTCTTACGAATCCATCAGCTACATCTTTGCTTCTGACAGCACCAAGGCTGACCTGAAGAAGAAGTGGAGTCATCTGAAGCCCCATTTTTAAGCTGTAATGAGGTGAACTACTTTTGAGTATATATTACAACCCAGATCTTCCCGCCACATCCCACTTAGTAAGCCTCTCCTCCCTTGGAACCATAGCAGCCAAGTGCTGCGGACTCTGACACCAGCGCCTTTCCAATGGTGGGTGCTCAGTAAGTCCGTCCTAAGCTACCTGAAGGCTCTGAGGTTGTCTGACTCACCTCCATGCTGCTTTCAGGAAGGGACTTGAATGCTGCTGCACACTGGGCTCCCCATTCTAGCAGTGGTTTTGCCTTAACAGTCCCTCTTCACTAGAGATCATGAAACTTCAAGAAAATCAAAGTAGGTTCTCATCAGGAAAAGTTTTGGAATTGCTAGTCTAAATAAACTGAGGAGAGAAGGGAATACAGATTGTTACCAAAAGCTTTAATCTGTCTGGTTTGTGATGACAGCTCTATGTTTTGTTGTGCCTCCTTTAATCAGACTCCCTTAAGTATTCCCCAGAACGGTGGACTCCAGGCTACACTGCATACCATGGATTTTTGTGAATCCCAGTAGCCAGGGTTAGCCTCTGTTGGGTGACCCTCACGACAGATCAAGCTAGCTGCTGAGATCTGCCTTTGCCCTTCTCATGATCAATCCTTCTAGAGTCAAGATACATTTTACATTTTGAGTTGAATAATGGTGAGAGAATTGATCCATTCTTGTGCTCATATCTCATCTTCCCTTCTGTACCTTGTCACCATAAAAATAGTTCTCTATAGAGCAGACAGGACAGCACTACACCCAGGTTACAGTAAAAGAGAAATGGCAGTGTTCTCTATATATCTATGTATACACACACACGTATACATCTGTATAGCTATGAACCTACGTGTATGCGTGTGTTAAGCTGTACGGCATTGGCCATGGAGAATAAACAATAAAGGGAAGAAGGATTAGCATGGGCAAAAGAAAACAATAGCACTAGGAAAACAACTCATGCCAACAGACACGACTGCCCAGCTCCTGCTGAGACATTCTTGCTTCCTCTGCTGCACAAGCCAGCAGCCTGTCCCAGGGCCTCACAGGAACTAAAGGGAGGGGGGCACAGGGCCTCTTGCTCTCCCAGCAGCAGGCTTGGCCTCTCTTAGAGCGTCAGAAGGCTATGTGTTATTTCTTGCTTCTTCCATCCTCAGGAATGGCAGTCAATGGTTTGTGAGTTAGTTTGAGATAAGATTGGGTTTTCCCAGGTAAGAATTTTGCCTTTGTCTTCTTCATTTTGCAAATTTTCTTCATCTGGAGATTGGAGGGCTGGTCCTGGGTCTTTTAAGATGGACTCATGCTCCATGCCCAATTATGATGGGTCCCAGTGGATTGTCCTAAATGATATGGATACAGATTCTAAGGAAGAAGTTTCATTCTGATTTGTCTTTTACCACATTCTAATTTGTTTTTCAGTCTAGAACATAAAGATTTAGACAGGCATACTTGTAGCAGCCCCACACAGGGAGCCAAAAAAAGCAAGTAAAGATTTATCTTTTCTTACTAGGAATGACTTAATCATAATTTGCATATATACATTAAAAAAAAACACCTGAAGAACCACTGGGCACTTTATAATTTTTATTAACTTGGTATCCCTGAGAGTCAAATTAAGGTGTAAACATTGTTCTGCTTTACACAAAGGGAAATGGAGGCAGGCTGACTTACATGTAAAACATCGGGAACCAGAATTCGTATCTGTTGATACCACAACCAGTGCTTTTTCCACAAGACTATACACAGACATACTGAACACAGTACTCTCATTTTTTAAAAACATTACAGCACACTTCCTGAACTATCTCAGATCCTGAGGCATTGCTTTACAGTGGTATTTCTTGTCATCTCCCTGTCTGTTTAGGCAACGTAACTGAGATACCACCTCCCCTTAATTCCTAAGACTTAGGAAATTCCCTTAGCACCAGAACTCAAATTTATCATTAGTCTGCCACAGTAAGCTATGGCTTTTAGAATATCCTATTTCCCCATTTCTCTCCCAGATCTCATTCCTATCTGAGGCTCATTAATGTGACTGTGACACGCTACTTATCTTAGACCTTAGCCATTGCGCATGTTCTTTGCTTTGACCTGCCAGTCAGAGTAGCTTCTCTCAGGATACTGGTGCCTGACCTTTGTCTCCCACAGGAGCTAGTCCCCTAAAACTGCTCATCTTTCTTACCCAGGGCCAGTCAGCTGTTGCCTCGTCAGTAAGTGCAGCACAGGACCTGATATATTCATATTCTGGGGGATGGAAGCCCGTCTGTTATTCCTGGCGCTCCACGTTGCAGCTGAAGCCAAGTCCCTCTCTGCCCTGCCGCACAGCCCTTATCGTTCTCCCCCTCAGATTCTGTGCTACTCTGAGCTTTGTCTTACCTCCCCACAGTCTGCCCTTTGCCCTCTGCTCCCTTGCTCCCCGGTTTTCCCATGTCTCACCCATTCAGCATGCGGTTTTACAGTTAGTTTTGGAAAGTTCATCTTGTCCAGGAAACCTTCCCTCTGAGCACTTCCTGCTTCATGAAACCTTCCAGATTAAAGAGAAGAAAATACCTCTCATTTTTTTCCCCAGACGCTAATGCTTTAGACCTTAACTTTTATGCACAGTGTTACTACCTTGCTTTCTAAGTTTCTCTAAAACCGCTGTAGCAGTACGTGTGCACTGTTTGTTCGTGTCAGCGTCACCTGTTGCAGGCTGTGAGGACAAGGAGGGGGTCTGTTTAACTTGTGCTGTACAGGCTCATGCTACTGTGAATACGTGGGCAGTTAGTTCAATGCCATCTTTATGATATCAGAATTACACTTGTTTGAGAGCTGCTTTTAAAAATAGATGTATACAGTTGAATATGTGTGTGCGTGTGTGTGTAAATATTGTCAGCTCCACTGACCAAAGATCATTTGTCCTCCTTACCATTAGGGTAAAGGGTTTTTGGCACAAAGTGGTCTGTTTTCCCAATCTGTGGGAACATGGCAAGTGGCTTCTGCTCATTGCACGTTAGTATTGTGTCCACAGGGTACGTGACACTCACCCAGGTGTTAGGGTGTGTGGATTATGGCAGTCCCTCTGGCAGTTCTAACTGCTTTCCCTATTACTGCATCCACTTGCCTTCCTCTTTGGGCTTCTGGACCACAAGGGACAGACAAAATTTAGATGAGACAGACCAGAAAAAAATCACACTAGATGCTGTAAATACCATGTTACTCTATTCCAGAACTTCTGTGGCTCTGAAGACAGTTAGAAATCCAGGGTTCACACCTCACTGTTAATGAGGTTTACACTGTTCCCCCGTATAGCACACCTAGATTCTTGACAAAATGGTTTATAGGTCAGAACCAGACTGGACACTTAAAGGCTCCTTCTTGAAGGTAAAGGAGTGTGCGTGACAAGTATATCATTCTGAGCACAGACTTAAGTGAGCAGGGGAAAAAAAATTATTCTTTTTTGCATTTCCATTACTGTATAAAGAGTTAGACCCATTGAGAATCCTCACTATTTCTCCATGAAATGCTGCAGTGTGGGTTTTTCTAGTTGAAATGCAGTTGAATAACATGATGAGTAAAGGGTACACATCAAATTCACAGGATCTACTACCGTGTCCCCTCTCTTAGGGGAACAACACAGGCTCTGAGAGGAAAGGGTGTTACCGTAGAGGGAACCAATCTTTCTTTCATTCTTACTCTAGATCCAGGAGAAACACAGGAATAAGCAGTGGGGTAAACTCCAGACTGTTTCCTTAACGAGTTGGGCACAGATTAGGGGATGGATCTCACTACTGGAGAACTGTTTCCAAACAATTTCAATACATGTAATGAGGCTGTTTTTCTCTAGATCCTCAAGGGCTTACTTAGGTGCTGGCTGTGACAGAAGTTTCTCTCGTGTGTGGATCTCTCGGTGCTTATTAAGAGCGGAACTTTTACTGAAGCACTTGCCACAGTCCTGACACCCGTAGGGCTTCTCTCCAGTGTGGGTTCTGTGGTGCGCACGTAAGTCCGAACTCTTGCTGAAGCTCTTCCCACAGTCGGGACACACGTGGGGTCTCTCTCCTGTGTGTATCCTCCGATGTGCACTGAAATGAGAGCTGTTATTGAAACTCTTCCCACACTCTTCACACTGATAGGGCTTTTCTCCTGTGTGGGTTCTCTGGTGAATGATAAGGCTTGAGCTCTGATTGAAGCGTTTTCCACACTCACCACACTTATACGGTTTCTCTCCTGTGTGGATTCTTCTGTGGGTGATGAAATTTGAGCTGTCACGGAAACTTTTCCCACAGTCAAGACATTGATAAGGTTTCTCTCCAGTGTGGATCCTCCGGTGTCTAATGAGGCGAGCGCTCCGACTGAAGCTTTTCCCGCAGTCAGCACATTTATATGGATTTTCCACTTGATGGGCTAGCTGATGCATAGGGTGGGAGTTTGGAGCAAAGCTTTTGCCGTATCTCAGGTATTTATAGGATCTCTCCCCCAAGTAAGATCTCTGTTGACTTGGAACTTGACCCAAACTCCTTTCAGGGAACGCTGGTTTTCCTTTGCTCTCTCCCGGGGTGTCCTCCCACTGTCTTCCAGGTCTGCACTCACTCTCATTGCCTTTCCTTTGATTAAGATGCCGGGGAATTCTCCTCTCAGACCTTGCAAGTAATGTCTTATGTAGTTGTACTTCCTCAGAAATATTCCGTTTTAGATTATCTTCATTCTCAAATCCAGCCTCGAAACCTAACGTAAGAAGAGAAATTTAAAAGTTACCCATTTTCTCAATTATTATGTGTGAGTGTGAAGTAAGTATGACATTGGATGACTTAACATAAAAATTAGGGGGCTCTGGATCCTAAATAACTACTGTCTGTTAAGACCTGCTATTTGGTCATCTGTCACATGCTTCTCATCTACAGGGGAACTGATGAATATGTTCTCTTAACTCTTTTTCCTGGATATCTGGGATCTTCAGAAAATCCTCAGTATACCAAGAAAAACCTGCCAGATTTAAGATAAAACCATCACTATGATTATGCA